GTCAAACCTCCAAAAGATGGTAGAAGCTTCTTAGACTTGTTGGATATTTTTGATCTTAATTGTTTAATTACCAGAGCCACTCGTAAGACCAAAACAACTGAGACACTAATCGATCTCATCCTGACTAATAACAAGACAAAGACTTTGACATCCGGTGTGGTGGATACTCAGTGATCATTCACTTGTTTTTACTGTCTTGCGGTCTGTGGCGCCTAGATCGCGTTCAAGAAAAATGTTTTCGTAGCCTAAAAAATTTCAACCAAGAGAAATTTGTGCAGGATTTACGTATAGCACCTTTTACCATAATGAATCTATTTGATGATGTAAATGACAAACTTTTCGCCTTTGAACAACTGTACAATGACATATTGAAGGAGCATGCCCCTCTTAAACAGACCATTGTCAGAGGCAAACATGTCCCATATATGAATGAGCAATGGCGTAAGGCTATTAGACATCGAAATAAATTATGGCGGAAATTTACCAAAGATCGCACGGACACAAATTACGAACAGAATAAAATTCATCGTAATAAATGCACGTCACTACGAAGGAAAGCGATAAAAGAACACTTTTTGAAAAAGTCAACATCGTCTGAGAATCCGCGTGAGTTCTGGAATGCGTACCGCCTATTCCTACATGGTAAAACAAAGCAGGCTAATAATATTATCCTTGAAGAAAATAATGCTCTCATCACTGAGAAGAATGCTGTCGCAGAGCTTTTTAATAATCACTTTATTCAAGTCGCTAACAGTGTTGCACGGATAAATGACAATAACTATGGACAGGACCTCGAAAATCATCCTAGTATTTTGGCCATTCATGAACATTATAGGGACTTCAATACGCCACTTTCTTTTGATTTTCACTGTACTAACAGTGTGCAGGTTGAAAAATTGATCAAAGAAGTTAATGTGAGCAAGTCGAGTGGTCACGACATGATACCGCCGCGAGTAATCAAAGCATCGGCAGCTGTGATAGCTGAGCCCATTGCTCATATGTTTAATGGCTCAATTGCTCAAGGTTGCTACGCGAGTGTATGGAAAATGGGGCAGGTGACACCGCTTTTTATGAAGGGTGATGAATTTAAAAAAGAAAATTATAGGCCTGTCACAGTCTTACCTGTACTCAACAATATATATGAGAAGCTGCTAATAGCACAGCTGGCAGACTTATCAAGCGATTCTGTTGGATTCCATCAGCTCTTACAGAAGGTTCTACAGTTGCGAGACGGCGCTGCTAAAAATTAATTGAGGACTGGAGGGCTATGTTCGATAAAGGGGAATTGGTTGCGCTAGTCTCAATGGATCTTTCTAAGGCTTTCGATGTTATTCAACACAATCTACTCCTAGCAAAACTCAAAGCTTATGGTGTGGGAGAGAGAATTTTAGCACTCTTCAAGGATTATTTTTCGGGGAGACAGCAGAGAGTCAAGATTGGGGACACCTTTTCCAGTTGGAAAGATGTTAAAAGAGGAGTTCCGCAAGGAAGTGTTTTGGGGCCTGTGTTTTTTAATATATTCATCAACGACTTGTTTTACTCGGTTACGCAAGGTAAATTTCACGCATATGCGGACGATCATCAGTTATACTCTTCTGATGTCGACCCAGTAGCTCTAGAGAACTGTATTTGTCGGGAAGTGAGAGTTGCAAATAAGTGGTATCGCAGCAATGGAATGATTGTAAATGAGACAAAACACCAGGCTATAGTCTTGGGAAAAACAGGCCACTCCTTCTCTTTTCCATTAAAAGATTCTTTGGATATATTTGGAATAAATATTGACAATAGGTTGCGTTTTGATAATTATATATCAACTATTTGTAAGAAGATAAATGGCCAGTTCAATGTAATGCTAAGATTTCGTAAACTTATCTCTAAAGATACTCTACTAAGATTGTATAAGGCTTTTATTATGCCACATTTTAACTATTGTTCGTCTGTATGGCACTTTTGTGGTGCNCAAGTTACTCATCCCAGACAGCAAGTTGCTCTAATTTGACATACACAATTCAATAAATTTTTCTTAGTTGATGGTCAAAACTTCCACGAGTGGAGATGGCGAATGCTTTGTTTTGTCCCATGTCTTGGAGAGCTTGAAGCCAAGCATGAATGAGTTCAGGAAAGTATGCATTGCTGCTGGCTGTCACTACCTAAAGACTGTCAGAGGCATTGGTATACAAAGGGCATTCAAAATGGTTGCGGTAGGGAAACTTAAGGAGTTGCTTGGAAAGGGGGTGCTCCTGAAGATTACTGGGAAAGTTTTTTCAAAGCAGAAGCAGTATTTCAACATCAAACAGTTTTTAATTCGGGAACCTGCTCCACAGTACTTCTAGAGCAGTGAGAGACAAATCCACCAGCAGAACTCCAGTATGTCTGTGGAGAGTATCCTTTAAACACTAACACCCATATCAAAGCTAACTTTTTATTCCAAAATGCACCATATTATACCTTAACTTTGAAGTCTATTAGATGATTTGTACTCCAATAAACTGGCTGTTGGCAATGTGAATACTAAAACTGGAGAGCAGACACTGACCAGATATCCCTTGTTCACCATAGTAAGTGACTAGCTCATTATATTTTCTAAGGTACTAGAGCCTAGAGTAATTAAAGTTGCTAATTTCGTTTCCCAGGGAAAAAGGAAGTGTTTCATTCATAGTATATGTTTTTAAGCTGTTGTTACTGCACACAATTGACTTCAACCCTCACTGCAAAGTTAGCATTTGCATACAATCCTTGACAGCTATATTAACTGCACTCTTTTCCCTTATATTTTAGTTGTCAATAGTAACCTCAAATGGTAATTCTGGTACATCTCAACAGAATGCAACATCTGAACTTGAAAGTGAGTTTCCTTCCAAGTGCATTAGGTGTACCAGGAATAAAATTTTTCAAAATTTCACTTCAGCTGTTGAATAATCTAAACTTTTATTTTTTAGGTGATGATGTCAAGCAACAAGCAATGCCACATGGAACCATGCAGTGTCAGATCATACATATTGACAGATTTTCTTCATTTAAATGGGAAATCCCTGGTTTTCATGTACTGAAACTTGAATTTGTCAGAGTGCTATTCAAATTGGCACTGAAATCTCAGATGGTGTTATCCAAAAAAAAGAGGCAGCCAATATTCAGAAACGGAATTTCATTTGCACTTCTCATTGTGGCATAAGAGTACATGAGCAGAACTACACAGTACTTTGGAACTTCAACCCACAAAGACAAGCTGGACATCAGTCCTTGATCACAAGTCAAAGAACACACAAGTACATAGGTCTGAACACAAATTGCTTGAACACAAATGAGAGAGATGATTTAGGGGAAGTTGGTGCTACCTGTTTGCCCTTTAAGGTTCTAGGAACATGTTATTCACAGTCTTGACAGGAAGCTCTTGAAAAGGCATTCGAACACCTGTATAACCACAACAGACCTGTGTTTGCAAAACTGCAGACTGAGCCAGATAATCCATTGGACAAACACGCTATTGCTGTTTATGTGATGTCATCGGCCGATTATGAAAAAGTAGGATACATAGCAACCGAAATGACTCAGTCTGTGCATCCTGTACTCAAAGATCCATCTTGCCCATCTTTGAACAACTGAGACCTATATGTACGTGTGTACAGGAAATGAAGAAGCACAATGTATGTATTTATGACACTTAATAAAAAATATTTTATAACACTTACATGTTATACTCAATTCAAGCCAGGGTACAACAGCATATTTAAATGCGTAATTAAGAAAATTCAAATATAAAAACTTATCAAAATATGAAATAATAAAACTAAGCAAAACAAGCACTGACCAGATGCCCACCAGCAATTAAGTGGCCCAAGAATTATGGGCGTGTAATGTAAACCCAAAGTTGTGAGGTATATCGAAATACAACAGGTCCCAGTTGTTCAAAGGCTGATTAGCGCATACCCTGGGGTTAATTTGAACATGGCTTTCCTTTATTTGTCTTAAAAAGATAGTCTTATTTATTTTACTCGATTATTTGTAGAACGTCCAATCATCAACTTGTAGACAAAAAGAGTTAAACCTGGCATGCTTTTTAAGTTTTCAATTCTGAATGCAAATCTTGCCCATCTGTGAACAACTGAGACCAACTGCGATAACTATTGTCCTTCCAGCTGAGGTGGAGGCAACTCTACAGGAGTTCTATGAAAGCGGGCTCTAATAGTTAATTGTCCCCTCTGGGGTAAGGAAGCTCTGTTAGCAACAAAGACTCCTGGATCTCCCCTTCGTGACAAACAAATTTGATCAAGTCTCTCTGTGATCCCTTCTCCCGATGGTTCATTTAAGGAAGGAAGTTCAAAGTCTCTGTACCGTTCATTAGCCCCTGTCCAGTAAAAAAATTCCAGATCTGGGTCTATTCATTTCTTGAATTCACTCAGAATTTTCAGCTGTGCATCCAGAAATTGCTTGACGTCAAAAATGCCTCCAATCGTTTCATGTTTTAAGGCTATGATTCCTTCAACATCAACAGTTGCTGATGCTCTCGGGTGTTCAGGGGGGAGCCCTCTCTTCTGGTATTCCACAGGTCGTAACTCTCTACTCTCCAAGTTTGCCACCAGGCCTACAATAGTTTCTTGAGTAAAGCCACAGATCCCCTTTATAGGCCTTGACATGATAAACCATATATAAGAAAGGATTTCATATAACTCAAAAAAATTAATGCCAGTAAGCAAAACAAACACAAACTCTACTCTGGGGTCAGTTGATAAAGCAAATATGATATTCGGCAAAGCAGTTAATGGGTAAATAATTAAGAAGCCATTCATAAAAATGCCTTACAAAATGCAGGAAAGTTTACTTATAAGGATCCCACAATTCAAAGTTTCCCAGTTAAGGTCAAAAGATTCTTCAACAAATGGGGCTATGCCCCTTTCCACACCCACACCAAAACAAATCACATACGTGTAATCACGTCCTGTTCTGGAATACTGTGCACAAATATTCCATCATGCGTTACCTGTGTAACTTAGTGATGACATTGAAAGGGTCCAAAGACGCACATTATCCCTCATTTCACCAGAACTGTCATACCATGACTCTTTAGAAAGGCACGGTTTAGCTTCGTTCTATGATAGACGCATGAAATTATGTACGGATCTGTTTTTGTCCATCTCAAATCCATCTCACAAATTATATACCTTGCTGCCAGATAGGCATCTTTCAGCTTACAATACTAGACACCGGCGCATTCTTAACATGCTGCACTTTCGCACTGATCATTTTAAATCTTCATTTATCCCGGCTAAGTGCGTGTGTGCTAACCTAGATTTTTAGCTTTTCCACTGCTGTATATTAGTTATATTAGTAATTTTATTTTGGTCTTAGCATTTTTGTCATTGATCTTGTATAATCAATTGGTCTTATATAATCAATGATTGTGAAAAGCACGCAATTCAGCCTAAGGCTGCAATGTATTTTATTTGGTAATAAACTATCTATCTATCTATCTATCCATAATGAATGGCTTAAGTTTTTTTTTTTTCTTCTCTAAATTTTCTGGGAACCGAGACATCCTTATTTCTTCAAGGATCATCAATGGTTCCTCTACAAAAGATAAGAAATCAAGACCCCACCTGTTCACATCAATAGTGCTAAAGTCAGGTTGAGAACTGTACCATGGCATCCAATCTGATAGCAACCACTCTTTCATGTCTCTACAGTAAGTCAAGCGCTGTTCTTCGGAAAGTCCTCTCCCATCAACAGCTTTGTGCCAGTTGTGGATCCGTCTGATAATGCTGGCCCCGCCTATATGACCTTTTCATTCAAGGAATGAAATGACTCCGAGACCAAAGAGCCGCTCACAGTCAGGCACTGACTGCTTGTTCTTCCCATTAAGCGCCTCATATGTCAAACCAGTAGCAGGGTCATGCAGAGCATCTCTAAGGTATCTTAAATCAATGTCTGGAGTAAGCCCTTCATGAAGATGAGAGACTATGCATTTTTTGAGAAGGTGGTTATGGTCTTCACGGTGGTGGATTCGTTCACCATTAGCACCTTTCTCTGGTTGGTACAGGTACTCCGAAAAGTTTGCGGGATCACTAGGGTGATGTTTGAGATCTTCAATTTTTCTTCTGTACAAGTAAATGGCCATTATTGATTTCATCACATCTTCTGATTCTTCTGGCTTGTCTGTAAAATAGAGGTATTTTCAATTGGTTTCCTACTCAATCTTGAATATCAACGGTGATGTTTTGTTATCTGTTCAACCAAATTTATTTTACCTTTTCAGGAAAGGTACTATATTGAACTCTAACCACAGAACTTTCTACATTTATAAACTACATTGCTTTGTTATATCATCGCACCTTTTAAAAGAAATAGAATAGACAGAAGATAATACCAGAAAAAACTATGCTGGCTTCTACATGGCAAAAAATGACCATGCACTTACCTCTAATCTAAGGGTGTGGATCATGCATAAAGGGAATCAGCTTTCTTCTCAGGATAAATAAGAATCTCTCAAATGGAACTGAGTCATGTGACATGAGCGAATGCATCCACATGACATCCTCTACAGGAACAGCTGCATGTTGACGTAATGGGTTTCCTGTAAGAAGAACATGATTGTAAGAAATATCTTGTGTAAAGCAGTTTTCCAGGGCCTTCTAGCTCTCAAAATTTACTATCTGAGTAAATAGGGCAAGAGGATACAAAATTTACTGTATTGCAAATTAATAATAAACCCAGTGAGGGACAGTTCATACCACCTACCTTGCCTACTCAGTTGAAACACCCGAGCAATGCTATTGGGACACGTGTGTCGTGCTTCATTTCTTGACATTTTAATTATCTCTACCACAGAAATTGGTTGTAAATGTCCAGCAGTTCAAAGGGAATTAAACTCCCCATCAGTTGTAAAACCTGTACAATGACAACAAACAGCATGTACAATGATCTGTTCTGTCCTAAGCAAAATAATCTAGTATGGGAAAAAATAACAAACCATTTGAAATGTTCCAACTGAAGACAGAAATAGACAAGAGTTAGCAACACAACTCAACCAAAGACCTAAGACCTGATAAACACTGCAGTAAAAATTAGAAAGATTATTGTTTTTACAGGTGCATTTAAATCTGGACACAAATTACATTAATAATCATAATATCAATAATAATAATAATAACAGTAATAAAAAAAGATATTGATTTTTGGTCACTACACTTCATTTATTTATTTAGCTTTTAATAAGTCTGGAGAGATTACTTATTCCTACACGTAGTCTGGGCCACGTTTCACGCCCCAGTCTGGCAAAATATTATGGCATACATAAGTTCTTACAACCGTCATGATGATGATGATGATGATGATGATGATGATGATGATGATGATGATGATGATGATGATAACAATGAAAATAAGAAGAAACAGAGCAACTGTAATGCATACCCACAATGGTCATGCCAGCATTGTCAAAATATTTTAAAGTTCTCATTACTTACTGTCTCCCGAGCTTTCTCTTTATTTACTTTGTTAAAAAAAATTGTTTTGTGCTCATGATTGTGCCCTAAAGTCAAGCTGTAAGACTCATCTTTAACACTTTTTTCGCTATTATAGGTCTATTGAAAGATAAAAACACAGTTTTTTTCGTAATCAGTGACTAGGATGTCCCCTCCTGTAGACACAGCAACAAAATACGGTGTGTGGAAACATTGTTCAGTCTCTGAGAGAAAGTCTCCGTCAATGGTAAATACTTTAAGTCTCTGGTTTCCAGTATCACAGACAATCAAATTGTTGAATTTGTCAAAAGCAAGTCCAACAGGGTGAAGTAACCTTCCACGACCAATTTCATAAAGAAAGTTTCCGTCCTCATCAAAAACATTAACAAGATCAGCATTAGAATCAGAGACAAAGAAACGGTCTGTGTCTTCGTGGTAAATGGCGTATGTTACTGATTGTTCATGCTCTGAAGCAGTGATGCGGGTCACTAACTCTGTTCCATCAGGAGTGATGACTATGACTTCATTACTCTCTTGATCACATATCGTTATGTAATCTTCATTATCAGTGGATACATGAAAAGGAAACTTCAAGTGCTCATTGTCGATGTACTCGACAAACTGACCCTCCTCAGAAAACAAAGAAATCTTGTGAACATCACCAGGAGTAAGGGCAATTATGTGACCGGACTTGGTGAAGTCTAATGAGGTGCAGTTACACCTCAGCCTTATCTCTCTCAGGTAGCGGCCTTCACAGTCAAACAGCTGAATTCTCTTACTTTCATAGTCAGATACGGCAATAGTTCCTGTCTTATCACTTACAGCAATATCATAAGGACCATTAAACTGTCCAGGTCCATTACCACTCGAGCCAAATCTAAAGTCGAACTGATACTGATGTGGGATGACTTGTACCCTCCAGGGACTACTATCCAGCGGTTGTCCATTAACCTCAAACTTCACCTCATATAATCCGACACAATATGGTGTATACATAACCGTATAGCAACCTTCTTCGTCGTCTTCAAACTCTACATCTGCTTCCAAGCTATTCTCTGTGTAATTGCGAATATCACATCTTATGTGATCTTCCTCATTATAGCACTGACTTTCCTCTGAATCTCTCGTAATAATGGTAAAATGTGTCTCCATCTGTTCTGTCTCATACCCAGATAGTCCTTCGATAAGTGTCAAAGAGGGATCCGTATGGCTTACGACTACTCGATCCAAAATATCCATTTTCTGTTCTACCACATAATGAACTCGTGGTGGTTTGTATATCAAAGGTTTTATTGCATTTAAAAGATCCTCGCAGCGTCTAATAATCACTGGCTTCGTTTGCAAAATTTCAGCATTGATATTCCTCTCTAAGATATTTTCACCTTGTTGAAGAGAACTTTCCAACTGAGTGACAGTGAGCTGGAAGTTTTCCAGGTGTGTTGTGTGAGCTTTTTGATGTGCTTGATTAATTTCATCGAATTTGGCATTCATCATCGCTTTATGGTCCGTTAATAAGCGGATACAGTCGTCCACAGTTTCGTTCATCTTCTCTCTGGCAGCCGATATTTGTGCTTTGTTTTTGTTCATTAACTCGGTTTGGTACTTCATTTTCTTTTCAAAAATGGCAACTTCTTCTTTCACTTTCTTTAGAGTCTCCACTATTTGCACCTTTTGTTCATCTGCAGCTTTCTGCATATCAACCATAGTGTGTCGATTATGACTCACAACACTGCACTTTATACAGGTGCAAACGTAACAGTCTTTACAATAATATTCAAGCGGTTGATCTTGGTGATATTGCACTGAACACATAACTGGTCTGCGAATCAACTCGTCAACATCGTCTACCTGCATATTCTCGACAGAGATATTTCTGTGACCTCTTGTGGCCTTGATGCGCTGATGGGCTCCAAAACAAGTTGTGCAGAGAAAGCTCTGGCACTCGAAACAGTAATAAGTTGTAGTGTTGTTTTCTTCACAGCTGCCGCATTGCTGGGATTCTATATTGCCATCCCTTAGAGCAAGAAGATCCACCAGTCGGTTGAGATGAAAAGATGCAGGAAGGCCGCCAAACGTGTCCTCTTCTGGGATCTGAAAGCTAGCCTGACAAACTGGACATTTGATTGCTGTCTGAAGCCGTCTTCTTGCGTAATTTGCGTGTTAGTCGAGACATCGCAAACAGAATGAGTGCAAACATGGTAGAGTCTTGGGATCTTTGACTGTCTCCAGGCAAAGAGGACATTCAGCTTCTTTTCTGAGGTCTTTAAACAGCTGTTGAACATCCATGGTGTAATGGCACTCGTCTTAACTGAGAAAGATTATCTGATCAGTTCTTCGTCGAAAAAATTATGTGTCCTCAGGCACAGAATGTAATACAACATCCAATTGAATGCTGGGATTGGCCAACCTTGTACCAGGTCCCTCAATGGGTTTTTCTCGCGGCTTCGATATTTAACGGTAGTATTCGGTAGTTGGTTCGGTTGATGATGCAAGATTTTGTTACGTTGAGCGTGACGGCAATCGCGGCTTGACCTTGAAGAGCCAAGTTGTTGGAACGTGACGTCGAAATTGAAAAAAAAGTTTCCTTAAAAGTAACTCTAGTTCATTCTTGAGTTTGAATGCTATGATTTTATTTTGTTTGGCTTTCTTAAAATGTGTTTTGAACTTTAGAGAAAGTCCGTTGAACGTGGTTTGATTCAGTTGTTGAGCTTGAATGAAATTTATCTTGATTTTGACAGAAAATTTATTAAATGTGAAGCCCATTTAGCATCTTGAATTTTACTCCATTTGGTTTTTCATCCTGGAATTATGCGCTGTTTACATGACTTCACGTCCATAAAATCGCGTAGTGTTGTGTTGAAAATCCTAGAAGTTGAATAAACAAAAGACAAAATAAACTACTAACATTGGTTTTAGGACATATCAACACTTAAATTAATATTTATCGGTCCAAATAATGGCACAAATGTCGCAAAGCCCTGGTTGAAGTTGGAAAGTTCCGTTTTCATCAGTCTTTCAGTCATTGTCATTGTCAATTATGAGGATCGCATTGGAACTGGACATCGGGTGTATTGAACGGTCACTTACAGAGGGACCACTCAAATAAAACTAAGAATAATCTATGAGATAATTTTAATCCATTTCCCCCTCCCAAAATCAAAGAAAGCAGTACTTTCGAGCGAGATTCTGTATATTGAGTGATTAATTATGGCATAAAGTAGTGTTTTTTTATCGTTGCGCGCTTACCTTTCCAACCAAGCGTATCACTACACTAATGAGGTCGATGAACTATCCCGTATTCCATCACTGAAGCGTTCTTTCGCGGGAAAATTGTTTCTGTCGCAACTAGTTGAATACATTCTTAATTTGAAGTGGGATTTTTGAACCATCTCGTCGGAAACCTGTTAGCGCGTTTGGTCACACCGTTATTTAACTTAAATTTTACGAACATCATTAAAAACGTTGCCCGTGGCCGAGATGGTGGGTGAAAAACTTCGCCTCCTTTGTATTTATCGACAAAAACCACGTCGTTCTCTCTTCACTCACAATTTTCCTGCAGAGCAAAAAGAAAAAAGAAAGAAAAAAAAAGAGTTCACAGTCCTTGAATAAGCTTTTGTGTTTTTTTCCTTATCTGCATAGTCTGAAATCGGCCCGTGAGCATTACGATAGACTACGAGCAGCCTATCCTTTTCTGCAAAGTCCGTCGAGTTTTAAAAAAATGACGATGAAAAACAATCATGATTAACGTTAATGTGCTGCATGGAACTCTGGGAGATAGGTGCACGAGAAGTAGGGACTTCTTGTAGTCTAGCATTACGAGAGTGTAATCACTTGCTTCGATCTGGCTCTTAGCCAATGATGGGAGGCACGTAGCATGGTCATTTTTTCAAGTACGCACAAGTACATGTGATCTAGAAACCTAAGTAAACTGAGCGAAAAATGCTGCGTTCTTTAGTTTTTGTTCGAAATAGTTGTGTGAATACAAGCAAAGAACAAAGCGTCTTGCCCTTGTTTTGAGCAAACTTGGCGCAAACACAACAATGTTTTCAAATTTTTCTAGTCACTTCAAGTACGCACGTGCGTATATGCGTATAGGACGCTACGCGCCTGGATGGACAAAATTTTCCTAATCCTTGCTGCGCTTAGTGCCTACGTCATGACCTCCTAATTCGGCCTTCCCACTTTTTCAATAACTTCGTACAAGGGAAAATGACGGGAAAGGTTTTTGAGAAAAACCCGAATGGCTGATGTACGTAGAGAAGTGAGAGGGTAAGGTTATTAAAGCCGCGCTGAGGGGGATCATAATTTTGAGATCTTGGATGGTGCAGTTACTAACAACACCGGTCACCAACGCAAGACATTTAACAGATGGCAAATGTCCCCTAAAAACCACGGATTGTGCAGTATTTAAGTCTGACTTTAAAAGTGTCGTATTCTCGAAGTTATGTATATGTGCACGACCTTCGCAGTAAAGCACTATTTAAGCAATAGTGAAAATCAGACCTGAAAAAAATTTCAGGCCTGTACGGGATTCGAACCACTGACCTCTGCGATACTAGTGCAGCGCTCTACCAATTGAGCTAACAAGCCAACTAGGAGCAGGCCATCAAATTAAGAAAAAAAGAAAAAAAAAGAGTTCACAGTCCTTGAATAAGCTTTTGTGTTTTTTTCCTTATCTGCATAGTCTGAAATCGGCCCGTGAGCATTACGATAGACTACGAGCAGCCTATCATTACGATAGACTACGAGCAGCCTATCAGGTCTGATTTTCACTATTGCTTAAATAGTGCTTTACTGCGAAGGTCGTGCACATATACGTTTCATAACCGCAGTTCATACATATGTTTCATATGTTTGTTGTTCTCGAAGTTATGTTAAATTTTTTGGTTGAGGGAAGTTTTGACTTCAGCATCTACCACGCGACAGAAATCTCGAGCTCAAAATCTTAATGTTTTTCACCAGACAAGCCTAATAGTCTGAGCTGCGGATAGAGGTGAAAAATTATGAAGTTGAAGGCAAAAATGATCCATTTGTAATCTTTCAAGAGAATACTTTTCCGTAAAGCAAATAGAACTCGGACTGTAAGGAGAAAATAAAAAGGAAAAATAAAAGGCAGCACTGTAATGTTACCTCAGGGATTGGTCTCCTCCTTCAATAGCCACGTGACCGGACCACGGCATAACGCCATTTGAAAGAGAGCGGGCTTTGAAATAAATTGTTCATTGAGTATTTTTTTTTTTCGTCTTTTTCTTCAATCGTTAGTACTTACCTATTATGATTGTTAAGTACTGTTAAACAAAAACGGAGCCAACAAGAAAATAAAATCGCCAGTCTCTCGAAGTAGTCATTTTTGTGATCAATAAAAATAAAAAATAACCACCTCGTCACGTGAGACAGACAACTATATATAATTACTGTTGCACTTTATCAAGATAAACATCCAAAACTTTAGAAAAGAGACCTGTCCTTCTAGCTCACGCAAAATTAAAATTCAGGTTTGATTTCTGCTGAGCTGAAACAGCGACTGCGCCACAACCTTACAGCGGCTTCAAAACGTAAACTTGGCTGGAATTATAACACATAAATATCGTGGTAAGAACCGCGACCGTGATAATACTGTCTTTTCACTGTTCGTGTCTTTGTGCTTCTCGTCGCGCATTAAATCAACGCTGAAAGACTAATAGTTCCAATGTAAGACATGAACACTGTCCACATCTGAATGAATTAAAGAATATCTCCATTTCTAGACACAGCAACACGACTCGGAAGAACTGAACACTCTCTAGTTGTCGAGACAAATTTTCTATCCAAAGTAAATACCGTTGAAGTCTACTGTTCCAAATATTACGGACGATCAAGTTGTTAAATTTGTCGATTGCGAGTCCTGTGGGACGGTTTAGCTGTCCGTCGCCAGACCCCTCGCAGCCAATATCGAAGAGCATCACTCCGTCCTCTTCATAAACACCAACACGGTTGGCTTTTGAATCAGAAACAAAGAATTTCTCCTCGATCGTGATAGATTGCGCGCCATACTGATTCCTCATGTCCAGAGGCACTGAAGCGTTTCAGCAATTTCGTCCCGTCCGGGGAGGTAACCACGACATGTTTTCCTCCATCACACTTTGTAATGCAATCATCTTTTCCAATGGATATGTAAAAAAGACACTCTAAGTGCGCACTATCAACGCGCTGGACAAAACTACCGTCTTCTGCAAAAAAACGAATCTTTTTAACATCATAAGGGGTAGCGGCCGAGTAATGTGTCCGGCCTGGATAAAACTTAATGCCGTACAATGAGTATCCAATTCTATCTCTCTCATGTAGCTCTCATTGCAGTTAAAAAGCTAAATTCTTTTATTTCCAAAGTCAGAAACCACAATAATTTCTGTTTTCTCACTTACAGCAATGTCATAAGGACAATTGAATTGTCCTGGTCCTTTGCCACTTGAACCAAACTTAAACTTAAATTGATACTGATGGATGACCTGAACTGTCCATGGACCTTCATCCAGCGGCTGTCCATTAACTTCAATTTTCAGTTCATATAATCCAGCTTGACGTGGTTTATATTTTACTGTGTAACTACCATGATCTTCGTTGTCTTCAATCTCTAGACCTATTTCTTAGCTATTCCATGTTGAAGGGCGAATTTTACAGTTAATGTGATCATCCTCGTTATAACATTGTCTTCCCTCTGAATTTCTCGTGATAATAGTAAAATGTCTCATTCTGTTCTCCTATCTTTTCACGAAGTTTTACGACAAGTGTCGATGATGAATCCTTAAGGTTTACAAAAACTCGATCCAAAATATCCATTTTCTGTTCTGTAACGTAATTTACATGGTGTGGTTTGTATATCTCGGGATTTTTGCATTTAAAAGGTCCTTGCAACGTTCAATAATCACTCAGGCTTTGTCTGCAAAATTTCAACATTGATATTCCTTTTTTAAATGCTCTCACCTTGTTCAAGAAAGCTTTTCAACTGACCAACAGCGAGCTGGAAGTTTTCCAGGTGTGTTGTGTGAGATTTTTGGTGTGCTTGATCAATTTCATCGAATTTGGCATTCATTATCGCTTTATGTTCCGTTAAAAAGCGAATACAATCGTGCACCGTTTCGTTCATCTTCTCTCTGGCAGCCGATATTAGTGATTTGTTTCTGTCCA